CACACACACACACACACACACACACACACACACACACACACACACCATCAGAGGCAGTCGGTAAACGTTAAGTGATGACTTGAGGGGTGGACTGCTTTGTTCAGGGAAGCGGTGAGTGCAAACCTCGACTCAACTGGCCAGTCTCGTATTCACGCCCAGCGAGCGAGTCACTCTGCGGTAAAAATCTCTTTAAAAAAACAACAAACAAACGTAAAACAACAGCCAGCGTCTCCGAGAGGGAGTCTTTCCTCTTTCCTCGGTCTCAGGAGGGTCAAACACACTCCTCCCTCTGATCTCCGGCAGAGGTAGTACAGTCCAATCCGGCCTCCTCTCTTCCCGAATCCCCTCGTGGGAAGTCTTTCCTTTCCTTGTGCCCAATTTCAATAAACACGTCTGTTCACCTGATTGCTTACTCTGGGCCGCCGTGTGTGTGAGTGCGTGTGTTTGTGAGTGTGCCGAGTGTGGTCAGAAGACCTCTGGTAGTGTGACGTTGCGGAGTAGCCACTGTTGGGAGCGTGTGTGTGTGCAGTCTTTGACGCTGGGCACCTGGCTGTCCTCCTCACTGGCCTTGTCCAGACACTGGTTACTGTTGACGTGGATCAGGGTCAGCTTCTGCACAGAGAAACACAGAGTGTGTGTGTGTGAGGGAATGCAAATCAGGCTTCTGACTGCTTCATTGGATTTCACAAGGGTATGTAACTAATCACCTAATCATATTCATATATTATTTTATTTTCAATCAGACTTTGACAGATTTTTCAATTTAGTTGTGGCTAAGCTCTCAGTGTGAGGCATGCTGTGGTTGAGTTGGGTAATGTGTCAGCAAGGATATACAGTATACCAACCTAAGACTGAAAACAATATCCAGAAACTGAAACGACAGCTGGTTAAATATGTGTTGTCATACTGTACGTGTATTGGAAATACACTGGGTTTGGAGCAGGTTCAGCACCTCACTTGTGTTTCTTTCCCCAGTTTTTCCCTTTACGTTATATTATGGGCTGCATTTTTTGAGGACCTTGTTTACTTTAAACTGCAGCGAGTGACTTCTTGCGACAGGAAACGCTCAAACCTTTGGATGTTTTCATAACCAATGTTAATGTTTTTTATACGGATCAAAAAATAGAAAGAAAACAAATTGTGAGCTTTCGGAATACATGACCTTCCAGGCTTTTCTGGTGAAAAGAACAACTTAATTTTCAGTTTCAAGACATGCATGAGAACCCTCCGTGTATGTTAATATGTGTATATTTAATGTACCAGTAAATCTGTGCATTTGTTATGTCCTCACATACACCCTAACATGTATATTTCTTCCACTCACCACCGAGTCGTACTCCCAGAGCTGGTTGCCTTTGAGGTGATGGCACTTGAGCATCATGACGGGTCCGTTTAGCTTGGACACGTCCAGACACAAATCATCTGTCCTGATCTCCTTATTGGCCGTATAAGAGAAAACCTGCATGTCACACAAACAGATTCTAGATCTCAAAAACACATTTCCATTACTGCTCGGGAATGACTGCACTATCACCCTTGTACCCACAATCTCATTCTTTCAGCTGCTACCGAAAACTCATTAACCTCAGGTGAGGGTTGGAAGGTATATTGACTGGTAAATCGCGAGCTTTGCCTTCCGGTTCAGCTCCCTCTTCACCATGACGTCCTCAAGCTCTATTTTACCCTCACTTGTGAACAACACCCCGAGATACTTGACCTCCATCGCTTCGGGCAGCAACTCACTCCCAACCCAGAGAGAGCTATCCACTGTTCACGGCAGAGAACCCGGGTCTCACACTTCCAGCGTGCTGACTTTCATCCCCACTGCACACATGTATGTTATATTATTTTACTAACCTTATTCAATTCTTTCATTCATTTATAAGCAAGCACAGGTCCCGGCCTTTGCCTGCTGCCCAGCTGGTAAAGCACTCGACCCCAATGCCTATCACTGGCCGGTTTACAACAAGAAATACTGACACAAAATAATCTTTGAAAAAATGTTTACTGTTTACACTTTTTACATTATTTTGTGTCAGTATTGTTTCTATATTTGTTTTCTCCTCGGATACCTGGTTGCCTCCCATGCCGTGGCAGTTGAAAATGCCGACTTTCTCATTCTCCTTGCGGGCCATGTTGTCCAGGCACTGGTTGGTCTCCACGTTGCGGATCTGAGCAGAATACACACAGAAAATCATTAAGAGTACATAAACCCTTTAATTTAAACAGATACAGATTCAGATTCATTGTGTCTGCTTGGGTTTCAGCCTAAAGGCAGTGAATCACAGATGCATCTGTGTCTTACAGCAATAACGGTATCTAAAAACCTGTGGGTCAGCCTGCGTGTGTGTGTGTGTGTGTGCGCGGATGAGTATACCTCTCCCAGGGAGTAATAGTGTCTGGGGATCTGAGAGTCGGGGTAGACGTTCTCCAAGTACCAACTGAAGGGTTTGCATTGAAGCTTTTGTCTCAGAGCCGAGCGAGATGTGATGTCACCGTAGTCCACTTTGGTCACGCCTGGACGCAAACACACGACATCAACATGAAGGTCAGTAACTATGGTACCAAACTACATTCAAACAGTGCAGTATGTGCTGAGTGGCTGCTAAATTCAGTTTTCCATGTAAAGCATGATTCAAAGTGTGTCATTGGTGAAGTAGGATGAGGCCGCACATGATTTGAAGCACCTACGACATAATTGGGTGCAACACTGAGAAACACTAGGGCTGGATAAAATGAATTGTATTTTAATTGCAGTTTTTGGATAAAGCTTCAAATATCTGATGTCATCATGTTTAGAACTACTTTTGACAATAACAGAGCAGCTCTGCCTTGTGGAGAATCTGCAGCCTGCTAAACAAAAATGGAGTAATTTGAGTAAGTTTCAAGCCATTTATTATTATTTTCTCTATTAGTGAGTTATGCTCCACTCTTGGTTGTCTCTCCTCTGCCAGCTTGTGTGAGTGTGTGTGTGTGTGTGTGCGCAAGTCAATAAATTCTTCTCAGCGTGAAATTACTCGCCACCCCCATCCTGCACTGTTGAGTCACCACTGCAATATCTCACTCTCCCCGGGTTAATGGATAGATCTCACCTGCCACGGAGATTAAACTCCACACATGAGCACATAAATGCATACTTGCATGAATGCGAGCGCACACACACACAAACACACTCACCAGGAGAGATGATGTAGAAGAAGTTCTTAAATTCATCCATCCAGACTTCGGCCAGGCGTCGGTTGTTTTTGTTGATGATCTGTCCTGTTCCTCCAGGAAACGTGTAGGGTGTTGCCTTTCTGAACACGTGGCCCACGTGGGAGCATGTGACAATCTCTAGCGTCCCACCGCACTGCCAAATCTGTGAAACACACCAGATTTGGCATCAACACACATATACAGTATACTGTGTACAATAGACACACTGTAAGGGAGATGGATGATGCAGTTTGGTCCTGTCTGTGTTGTGACAGTCTGTTTGACGCCTGACAAAATATTAGTCTAGTCAACAATTTAAGTCAGAGAAGTCAGACTTACAAGTGTAATGTGTTGCCTGCCACTGCATGGAAGAACACAGTCACGTCAGTTGGCTACGGGCGTGTTCACTCACCCTGAAAGAGATTTCCAGGTTCTCTCCGCCCCAGATGTCCATGCCTGCGTCATATGTGCCAATCTCCTGGAAATAATCTCTGTCTATGGAGAACAAGCCACCTGCCATGGTGGGAGTCCTGGAGAGAGACAGGACAGCAGGGTAAATTAAGAGCGCGGTGGGTTAGTGGCACTTAAGTCAGTGAAGACCTGCTTTCTAAAGGTCACACGGTATCTACAGATCCCATCAGAGTTTTATGTTTCGCCACTCTCACCCAGTTCTTGGCTGTTTTCCTGCTATTTCATTCTGGTCTTTTTCTGCTCACTTCTCTGTTGTGTGTCAGTGTTAACGGCCATTTCTCCCCCTCACACAACAGTTTCCTCCATTGTAGATCAAGCTTAATTTCTTTACTGCCTGCTTGCTTCACTTACCAACACACAATACACATAAATAAAACACAGGTAAAAGATATCCTGAGAGCACACGGGGTAAAGCGTTGGGCTGAAAGTGGGAAATAATGAGCAACACAAACACTAGCTTGTTGAACAACACAGATGTTTACAATCGCACAGAATAACTGAAAACTGAAACAAAGTGGTGAATTATGTCAATATTAATAATATATGGGTGTGCTTTTCTTTCAACTGTAAACATATCAAAGCTCTCTAAACTAGTCAGCGAACAATTAAATCAATATTGTGACATCACAGTTAAACAAACACAGATGTACATTGCAGCGCAAAACAGTTTCTAATTAAAGATTGTCTCTTACAAAGAGTCGCATAAAAACAGGTTTATCAAAAAGACTGTGACATTGAAATAAACATAAACAACTGTAAATACAGGGCAATATTCTGTACCAACAATGTCAAATATTTGTTTTCCAGGTCATCTTGTGGTAAATTCTCCCATCTTTTTGTCTGAAGGAATCACAGCACCTCGTGGACACGAGGTCATTTACTATGTTCAAAGGATTTTCCACAAGACTTTTTTTCCAATAGCTGTAAAGAGAAACTTTCCAAGTGACCACAGAGATTTTGCGCTGTGCTGTAAGTGTAAATCACAAGTTAGATGATGTTAGATGATATCAACCAGTCGGGCTGTTGCGTTTTCCTCCTGTCTCGTCACTCTATGAGGCTCCTCAGAGTGCGACAGCAGCAGGCCTGTAGCTAACCAGGAAAAGCTCTCTACGTACTTATAGTAGCAGTCATTTAATACCAAATTCACATGTGAGAAGTGGAAATCCCATCATTGATTCTACTGATTTCCCACTAGCACATCTTGTACTATTGAACTAAGTTGGTGCTTGACTGAAACCTGATACACAAGCTTCATTCTGAAAACTTGTTTATGTGCAGCAGTGTTCAAATCTTCTCAGTAATATACAACTAATTCAACATGACAGGATTTATCAAATAATTAGTCTAAAGTACTTTTTACTTTCCTACCCGGGCCTTGCAACCCAACTGTGGAAAACAACTCACAACAGGGGAACAAGTGTTACATAAGAAATATTATATTATGTGTGACCTGGAATAATGGTGTCAAGCATGCTGAGAAACAAGAGCAGGAAGGAGAGATGATAGACAGGCAGAAATAAGTTTGGGATTTTAGTACCAAAGGTCTGAGCCATGAGAAACGATACAAGGAACAAAACTACACTGAATCTTACATAAACATCTGGTCTTAAGCTACGCTGTTAAGTTCAATCTATTCTTTCAGTATGTATTCCTGAAGGGCAGTTTATAATAATTAACTGTGGTAAATGAAATGGAGAAGTACGATTACTCTGCACACATCAATTGTAAATGCCTATGAGCAACGCTAAAGCTCACAGGCTATGAGTTATTTTAAACAACTGACTGACAGAGTTAGTGTGATTGATCATGTGGTATTTCACTAATGATTCAATTTTGTCCCGTAGGCAAATTCTCTTTACACTTGACCCAACAGAGAGGGGTAAGCGCTAGCTGCACAACTGTTAGGCATTGAATAACGAGCTGAACGACGCTTCAAAAAGGAGAGTCCGACCCAGATCGGCCCGCTGCTTCACCCACCTGACAGGCAGCGTGCGGTCTCCTTTGCGGCGGTCCATCTCTCTCTGGGGTACAGGGTACCAGCGGAAGTTGAGCTTCCAGTTGAAGCCCCCGTACGTCATGTCGGATCCTGCCATGTACTCGAACGTATCGTCGCTGATCACGTCGATGATGGGGCACACCACAGTTCTCCTACAGCAAAACACAGACATTCATCAGCCTTCTTTTCATAACCTTGGGTGGGCATCAATCACGGCTAAGTGCTCATCTGCAAGGTGTGGCACCTCCAGAACCAAATGCATTTACACAATGGACCGTGCTGAGCCTTCCCATCAGCCATAACTCATCACACCCTTTAAAACCCTGTGTGTGTGTGTGTGTAAATACTTGAGTACCTGCTTGCAGGGAGCAGTAAACAAAGAATACTAAATTAAGCATTGAATAAACACAGGCAAGCTCCCTGCAGGCTCCACAATTGTTCATTGATTTTTTTATGCTTGGCATAGGCGTGTATGACATTTGTGTGTGTGTGTGTGTGTGTGTGTGTGTATCTTACTTGTCCTGCTTGATGCGGGCGAGCAGAGGCTCGAGCCACCCTATAGTGCATTCGCAATGAGCATCCAGAAAAGTTATGACCTAGAAACATGGAAAGAAAACATGAGACAAACCCAACGGTGCACACACCATGTGGTGAGCAGGCCACTGGGTGGTGGAGGTCACATAGGTGCATGTGCGCGCACACACACACACAAACACACACACACACACACACACACACACACACACACACACACACACA